TGAGTGGTGATCAGCGAATGGCCGTTCATGAGTGGCAAAGCGTTCACATGATGTGAATCCATGTGATTGCTGTCAAGAGTCGCGCAGCAATTGTTACTCAACTTTTGCTTTTTAGTACCACAACAGCCACCGATCGATGCGGCCATACCTTCAACGCCCGAACCCTCTGTAAGACCACTTCAAACACAGACCAATACAAGCCGTTACCAACTCTGCCGTCAACCAAACACTTCACCACTCAATACACTATCGCTTACCAACACCTCAACAGCTGAGGGACTCCTCATATCATGTCTAACCATTAATAGCACCCAATTGTGCGCAAACTCTATACCAATCCATTCAACCCATACCCACATAGACTCACCACTCGTTCATCCAAATCATCACCAATTTGTCAATCGTTTATAATTTTCATGTCATTCACTATTCATTCACGTCCATCAAAATCAATACACTATCACCAATCAAACTATTTCACGCATTGCAACAAATGTATCCATTCACAAATTATCTACTTTTCACACACTATTTTAAACTTATCAAGTTTAATTAGAGTATGACTCATACTATATGAGTAATGTGGTCACTCTACAACAGTCAAGTCTAGTTATACATAAAGGTAGCAACTCTTTGCGCTAATTTACGTGTTACTCGATTAGCATAAATATTTAAATATTTGGCATTTATTTGAGGGGCAATTCTACCTGGTTGTAATCTATGACACCCCCTTCACCCGAGTCAATGCAATCTTCATAAAAATAATTATAAATACAGTGTATTAAAGATGGAATCATAGAAATAGTTTGCGTGTTTGGGCTTAACTGTCAAACTTGTGGTCCGGAATCGATAACAATTGCATTATTAGGCATTCATTGAATAGATTACAAATAGGTTATAGGAATGCAAACGCAATGTTAGAAATTTATTAATAAAACTTAATCCAAAATGAATTGATTTTTAGTTACAAACAACAAACCAACAAAACTTGGTCTATAATGTTAGGCCTATAACTGTAATATAAAATTAATTTTGTTGATC